GCCTCGCGAAGCCATAGACGATTCCGGCGGCGGGCCCAACCGGTCGGAACAGTCGCAGAGCAGCGAACGCGAGCAGCATGCGGAGCAGGAGCCGGAAGAGCCCGATGAGCAGGAGCTGCCGGCCGCCCACGGGGAGGGCGCGGAAGTGGCGCCAGCGCAGGAATGGGAGCATGGGCAAGAACAGGAACAGGCAACCACCCACCGCCACACCCCCCTCGCTGACACTACTTGCCCTGGCCCCTCCCTCCCTGGCAATGGCGCGAGCTCGAGCGCCGAGGAACAACGGCAGCGCGGCCGGAACGTTCCCCCAGCGCGTCTTCGTGGCAGCAGGTGGGCGCCCTGCCTAGCCTCTGTGACTGGCGACCTTCCAGTCTCCCCGCCGCCCCTGGGCCGAAACCTGGCCCGTAGCGACGCCGACCGCGCTGGCGGGTCTGGCGGGCGGCAGACGGCAGGCGGCGGACGCAGCAGCAGCAGCCGCAGAAGCAGCAGCAGGCGCCGCGCCGAGGACCAGCCGCTGACCACCCCGCCCCTGGTTGCGCGCCCCGCCGCGCGTCACTGTCCAGAACCTTTAGACCCAGACACGGGACAGCAGCTATATTAAGCTAAGATCGGCGGCATCCAGTGAGACCCCCCCGGGGAGGCACCTGGCGAGACGATAAAGCGGCTTCAGGTCACCCTGGGAGCGATGTTCACAGGCGCCTGGCACGCGTTCGCCCAGCAGCACGCCATGCCTGGCAGCAAGGCGCGCTCGACCCGCGGCGGCACGACCAGCAAACGTGCGTCAATTTCCTGTCCTCCTTCCGCAGCCATAACTGCGACGTGCGGGCCATGGGCGACGCGCTGGACCTCGGCGTTGACTGGGCGCAGTTGCGGCTTCGGTACCTGGGTGGAAGTGGCGGCGCGGGCAGGGGGCGCCAGGCGGCGAAGGGCCACGCTGATCGCCGCGCACCCAGGAAGGACCAGAAACAGTGGAAGGTCGTCACCTAAAGCCGCGGGCGCGCCCGCCCTTGTTTCACCCTAGTTCACTCTGGCTTCTCCTGGGTGTGGCCGTGACCTGGCCTTCCAGCGGGCAGCCGTATGCAGCTTAGGTTCTGTGCGGTCGCGACAGGGTCGGGCGTGGTCTATCCTACTTGGCTCCTGGCGTTGCCAACAGGTCCACAGGTGTCACAGGTGGCGCACTTCGGATGACTGTTGGTCGTGCGTCGCATCCGCTGGCGCCGCCTTCATTGTCCCGGTGTCACTCGCCATTGGCTGCGAACGAGCACCCTGGGTACATCTTTGGCATTGGGTGTGGTCCATCCTGCTCGGTTGCATTGCTATGTTTTCACAGGTCTTGCTATGCTATGCATGGACCACGGTGCACATGATTGCTCCTGGGACGCAGGTTTACCTACCTTTGAGCGGTCATTACTTGATCTGTCGGTGTGCGGCGCTTCGGCTGGCGCCTCTTCAGATTTCGCACCATTTTGGCAGCGCGTGTCAGGTTTGGCTAATTTGGTGCTCCCTGGGTTTCCCTGGGTCCCCTTGCAGCTCTGCCCTGGGTTCTGCTCTCCCTGGGATCAGCCTCACCCTCGCCGCAGTTGCTGCTTGCTGCATCCGGCGCCGCCGCGGCCGCCTAGTCGCGCGCGTTAGCCGTCGGTAATTTAAACCGGTCGCGGCCCGACCTACTTCGCCCATATATATATATATATATATATATATATATATATCCCCACCAGCCCATCCAGACACGATGCCCAGTGGAATTGCCCTTGGGGCGTCTTGGGGCCTTTTTCTGGCTCCTGGGAGGCCTCCTGGAGCGTCTCGGGTGCTTCTGGGGAGCCTCTTGGCGCCACTTCGGGGCCACGAAGGGGGCCTCTTGGGTGCTTCGTGGCGGCCTCTTACACTTGGGGCATATTCGGCGCCCCATAAGGGCTCTCTTGGGGGCTTTTCGCGCCTTCTGGGGCAGTCTTTGAGGCTATCGATTCCAAAAGATCAGTTTTGCTCCCCACTGGCCCAGGAGGCCAACATGGGCCCCAAGCCCAAGGATAAAACATGTCTCTGGTTTCCTCGCTGAGGCCATCTTGGACGCTCCGACCGCTCGCGACCCCCCCCCTTCCAGACCCAGGGGGGGGGGGGAGGGAAAGGGGTAAACCCTTCGCCGAAGGGGTCAAATAGGGGAAGATGGAAGAGGAAGCGCCTCGAAACACCACCGTCCAGAGGGCAGATGGGATTTTAGCTGAATGCACGTTCGCACTCTAAGCTTTGGCGAGCGAGCAATGCTTGGCACGCAAGCGCGCAAGGGCTTGCTGTACATCATGGGGGCCCATTACGTTGATGACAACTTCATTCTTGAGGTTGCTGCAGCACAGGGGGACGCGCGCAGCTCCTTTCAAGCCCTGGCCGCAATGTTGGGCATTAAACTGTCCGACTCTAAGCGGGTGCCTCCCACGTCCATGTTGGCCTTCCTTGGCCACCTGCACGACCTCTCTGCCGCCCTCGCAGACCCCCCCATTACTTTCGAGCCCCAAATTGGATCCCGGGAGAAGTTCCGCCTCGAAGTGTTGGAGATTTTTCGGAAAGGGCGCTTGCTGTCAGGCCAGGCCGCTCACCTTCGCACCATGTGCAGTTGGTTGGACACGTCCTTAGCAGGGCGCCCTTGCCGAGGAGCGCTGTCTGCCCTCACAGCTAGACAGTATTACGAGCCCATGCAAGAGTTGACCGACAATCTTTCTTGTAGTCTCCAAAGCCTGTTAGCTATGGCGGTTTTTGCGTTGCCTCGGCCTCTGTCCTTGCACCACATAACCCAGGCTCCCGTGGTAGTGTACACGGATGCTTCGGCGGAGGGCAGTCGTATCCGCATCGGGGCGCTTGTCTTCGCGCGCGGGCGCCGGCCAGCCTGCCTGGTATATGACGTCACCGAACGGACGTTGCCACTTCTTGGTTCTGCCGGCGCGTCCGGCACGATCAACCAAGCGGAGCTCCTTGCAGCTCCCGTTTTGGTGTGGTCCATGCCAGACGTCTTGAGAGGGGCAGACGTGCTTTGGTTCATCGACAACCAGGCGGCCGAAGCAGCACTCGTGAAAGCGGGATCGCCAACTGAGTCCATGTGCCGCCTGGCCCTGCAGGCCACAGCGGCGCTTGTTGCTCTCGGGTCACGTCCATGGTTCGAGCGAGTACCGTCGGACGACAACCCAGCCGATGTCTTGAGCCGCGCTGGATGGGAGGATCCCACGGTAGCTGCTCACGTCTCGTCAGGGCGTTGGATTGCAGTCCCGCCGCAAGAGCCGGATGCTGACGGGTTAGAATTCCGACGTTTGTTCTCTGCGCCTGCGTGATGGTCTCCGGGACCAGCGCCTCTACGGCCGCCGGAAAAATTGCAGTCGGCATCATATCGTCATTTGCCTTTGCACCCTTGTTTGTTCACGTCTACACCACCCTCCAGCAATACGTGCATTCCCCAGACAGTGCTTGCACAAACTTGTGATATATCAGGACACCTGTACTTTTGACCATGGGGGCAGCGTTGGGGAGTCCTCTCGATTCTTCCAGCGTTGGGGGTCATCTCATCTTGGCCTGCTCGCCCCTCCGGGGATTGCAGCCGTGGGGCACCCCGCCCCCTCTTCATGTCAAAGACTGCAGCTAGGGCACCGCCCCTCTCCTGCCCCCGTCCCGGGCGATAATCCGCCTCCTCCTTCTCTCTCCTCCTCATCTTACCTCTCTCCTCCTCCTTTCTCCTCCTCCTCATCCTCCTCCTCCTCCTCATCCTTCTCCTTGTCCTCCTCCTCCTCCTCCCCCTCCTCCTCCTCCTCCTCCTCCTCCTCCTCCTCCTCCTCCTCCTCCTCCTCATCCTCCATTCCTTGTCCTAATGAATACTTTTCCCTGTCGCACCACGAGGCCAGTTTTTAGGGCGGGCAGGGCGTTTCGCCTGAGACTTCCTCACCGTTGATGATTCGGAAGTTTAAAACGTGGCAGCAGCTTCACAGATGGAGGGCGGGTGGTTTTCAACATGTGGCTCTCGCCTTAGCGCGGCACACATTCGTTCTAAACCAAACGCAAGAGTTTCACGGATCGAGCGCGGGTGGTTTAAACATGTGGGTCTCGCCTAAGCGCCGCGCACATTCTTCCCCAACAGTTGCAAGCGCTTCACGGATTGACGGCGGGTGGTTCTGGACATGTGGCTCTCGCCTTAGCGCTGCGCACATTGTTTTCCACAAGTTGCAAGAGTTTCATGGATTGAAGGCGAGTCGTTTTCAAAACGTGGTTCTCGCTTCAGCGCCGCGCACATTCGCTTCCTAAACTTGCAAGAGCTTCATGGATTGAGGGTGGTTCCTTTTCAAAATGTGGATCTCGCTTTGGCGCCGCGCACATGCGTTTTCAAACAGAATTTCACGGATTTCCACCACCAACGTACCAGACATGGTGTTTTGGAAGGGTTCACGATTATGCGGGTGCAACAGTTACTTTGTTCCTTATTCTGAAGTCCTAGGAAGGGCCTTCTGGCACGATTCAGGATCTTCAAGACGCAACAGTCAGGTTGATCCGTGGCGTTGGAATCCCGAGAACAATGTTTTGGCATGCTTCAGGGTCTTCAAACGGGTGCCTTCCAACGAGGCAGTTCCATCAATCGAAATGAAACGTTGTAGGGGCCTGTGAAGAGGGAGCTTGGAGGGTGGGTGTACTCCAACATCGTTGCTGACTCTTGGGTTTACACTGGTCCTCCTCCTCCTCCTCATCCTCGTCGTCGTCGTCCTCCTCCTCCTCCTCATCTCTCCTCCGCTTCTTTCCTGTTTCCTCTCTCCTCCTCCTCCTCCTCCTCTTCCTCCTCCTCCTCTTCCTCCTCCTCCTCCTTGTCTTTCCCCTCGCCTAAGGCCTAGCCGTGCGGTTTCCTCCTCCTCCTCCTCCTCCTCCTCCTCCTCCTCCTCCTCCTCCTCCTCCTCCTCCTCTCCTTTCCTCTCCTCTCCTTTCCTCTCCTCTCCTTTCCTCTTCTCTCCTCTCCTGTCCTCCCCCTCCCGGCCGAGGCGAAGCTCAAGGCCAGCGAGCGCGGCCTCGAGGAGCGGACAGCGGTGCTGGCCGCGGAAGGCCCCGGCGATGCTGCCCGGTGCCGTCTCCGGCTCGGCCGTGCGTCGGCCACGCGCAAGGGGGGGCAGCAGGAGTCGAAGAATACAAAACGCCATAAGCATAAACTTTGCGCTGGGCCCCCCCCCCCCGGCGGCGCCTCCGGCGCGGATCCAAGAAATCCGCGCGGAGCGCAAAAAGTTTAGTTTATGCCGTTTTTGTTTTCTTCCATGGAGGCACCCCCTGCTTTTTAGGAGCACCCCTGCTTCTCAGAAGGCGCGGGCCTTCTCTGCAGATGTAGGGCCCGCGCCTTCCAAGAAGCGGCCTCCTTCTAAGAAGCGCCTTCCCTCCGTCCCCCTACCCCCGAGGCGGGAAATATACATGACCACCGCCTGGAGGGTCAGTTTTCGGAGCCTTGGCAAGCGGTGGATATGGACATATTCGGGCCCCCGGGGGCCAGAATATATCCATATCCACCGCCAGCTAGGGCACCAGGACGTCGGTTCCCAGGCGGTGGATATGGATAAATCCCCGCCTCGCACTACTCGCACTACCCCCCTGTACGCGCCGCCAACGGCCATGCGGAAGAGTGACCCGTCGCTGGGGGGACCCCCGGTGCGGGCTCACGGGTCCCGCAGCATTGGCTCGCGCACCTGGATTTGGCTTCCCCGCGGCCCCGTAAAGCCGCGCACCAGGAACATTCCAAAATAGTCTAAAGATAGTCTGGGGACGATTGTTCGATTCTGTTTGGACTATGTTTGAGCAGTTTTTGACTATTCATTTGTCGTCCATAATCCGCCTGTAGGGGGACACGCCCGACATAGTCCTACCCTGGGGGTCCCATCCCTCAGGACCCCATCTCTGGACCCCCGATCGTGGAACGCGAAGCGGTAGCGGCGGCTTCCGCGCCCAGGGTCGGCCCCCGCGCGGCCCCCCAAAAGCCGCGCACCAACGGCCACTCTTGCCCAGGGTCGCTCTTGCGTGTGGCCGACCCGGGAACGCGGCAGCTGGCAGGAGCCTGCGTCGCACCAAGTGGGAGACGCCCGGGTTCGGTGGTTCAAAGGTGAGGTCGTGAGAGATGGGGTCCTCAGGACGAGGTGCCTCGAACAATGTAACTCCACCCTGGAATCCATTCCTACCCTTGAGACACCATCCCTCAGGATCCCATCTTTGAACCACTGATGGGTCGAAGCGAGCGGTGTGGGGGGGCTTGCCGATTGTCTGTCTGTAGGGGATAGCAGAGCCCGGCGCGAGGCGCGGTTGTCTGCGCTCTCTCGCCGCTTCCCGTGTCTCGGGAAGCAGCACACGGTGCTCTCAAACTCCCTAGGCCCGGCCACATTCGTTGGTCGCTGGCACGCTCCTTGCCGTGGCCCGGGTGCGGGTGAAAAAATATGCTCCTGCGTGGAGCGCGACAGGGTCGGCAGAGAACGGACACGGTCAAGTCCATATTCGCGGTCAGGTCCAGATTCGCGGCATAATGCTTCGTGGCGTCCAGGGTGGCACCGCAGTTTCAGCGAGGGGGGAGGAGGGGGAGGAGGGGGAGGAGGAGGAGGAGGAAGAGGAGGAGGAGGAGGAGCAGGAGGAGGAGGAGGGAGGAAATGTAATCAGAAGGAGGAGAAAGGTGGAGCTGGGGTGGCCACGGAGAGACTGGGCATATGGGATCGGACATCCGCCTTGTCGGCGAGGTGGCCGAGCGGCTCTGCGAGTCGGGACGCCTGGCGCGTCTTGGCGCTCGGCTGGTGCCGCGCGCGGGGGTTTGGCGGCTCACCCCGGTAATCTCCACGGGCCTCACAGAGTGCAAGCGCACAGACAGGAGAACACCGTTGTGGGCCCAGCGGCGTTTTTTGTTGCTGTCTCTCTCTTCGGGTGCAGTGTGCCGCAGCCCTGTGGGCCGGAGGGGCGGGGCGGCAGGCTTTGGCGGCAGTGGGCAGCGGCTGGAGGTGAGGGCAAAGAAAGGAATCGGTGTGACATGAGAAGGGGGGCGGGGAAGTGGGTGCGAAGCCCGTCGTCGACGCGCGAAAGCGAGCACGACAAAGACAGCGTTGAGACACGGGCGTTGCCTCTCAAGAAAGGGTGCGCAGTTGTCTTCGCGTGCGGGGCAGAGGGAACGGACGTTGCCTTCTCGCCCCTGTTCGCGGCTAGTGGGCGTGCATTGCGGGTGGCCACACAGGAGCCCAAGTCCCAGGCCGTTGTTTACATCAGTGGCGGCTCATCACCTTTACGATGATCTCTGGATGCACAGCGGGCGCGGGATCCGAGGGCACGATGGATGTGAACCGCCAAGAAGCGGCTGTCCTGGCAAGTTGTTACGGGCTCCGTTCAACTCCACTATGTGGTCTCGAGCCCGCGCTGCGGACCCCAGGTTCTGCTCGTTCCATTCCTGGAGGAGGCCGTCAGTGACTGCGACAATTGGGAGGGTGGCGCCATCTCTGGCGTCCATGCGGATCTCGGCGCTTGCGTCTTGGTAGTCTGTTAAGGACGATGAGGGAATCGAGACTGGGCGCGGCAGTCAAAGATGCGACGGCGTCCACCCTGCACAGGACGACTTCGTAGCAATCTGGGGTTGCTGCGCTCTTGGGGGCGTTCGTGCCGTCTCAGGTACTTGTGGCATGCATCCAACTATGGGCTCACAGATGCCATGCGCGTGGTTGTCCAGCCAGTCTCGCCTGATACATCCTGGCGATTCTATGCTGGGAAGCTCATTGTATTAATGTTGGAGGGGTTGTCTGGCCTGTCCAGGGGGTTGCCCAGGGACTCTTTTCCGATGGGATGTCCTCTCCGCTGAGCATCGCAGGTGGAGGGCGAGGCTTTGGGCCCCTCGGAGGCCGGCGGGCCCCCCCCGGAGGCGCCGCGGCCGCGGCCGCGGCCTCGCCGTCGCAGCCAGCCCCAGCGGACACGGCTGGACGGTCAGCGCCTGACGATGAGCAGGGGGGCGAGCAGCTTCGCTCCGATGCGCGCGTCCAGGCGCCGGTCTTGCCGCCTGATTCTCGCGAGGAAACATGCGGCCTCGGCCCTTGTTTTCCGACGGTGTCGCCACCAGGAGTGAGATCGGGCATGGACGTCTCTGTTAGACGGAGCGCGCTTGCAGAGCTTCCTGGGAGCCGTGGAGCTTCCTGTCGCCACGAGCCCGCTGCGTGCCTGGGAGGCAATAGCTCGGCAGCACAAACTTCGTCTGCTCGGCAACCCAGCGCGACCTCCGGGGCGCCAGAAAAGGGGGGCGCGCAGGCCGGCAAGGCGAGCGAGGGGGGCGAGTGGCCCCTCCGCGGCCCTGGGCGAGGCCAAGATGGGCCGAGTGCACTGGAGCCTTTGAATGTAGAGGGCTGTGACGCAGTGGATGGGCCCAGTGCGTCGGTATTGCATCTCAGAGGGTTTCCAGTTGTGCGTATTATCTTCGATAGTTTGGCTTCGATTGGGCTGTCTGGCCGAAGCCTGTTTGGATTTCACCAGCATGGCAGGATTCTCAACGCAGTCCAGTTGCCATGGACTTGCTTCGGTGATTGGAACATGGGCTCGATGCATCCCTCCCGGAGCAATGCTGTCAAGCAGGGTCCCGATGTGGACTTCACCCGTGATGCTGGAGAGAAGGGAAGCACGCTGGACTAGGCCATGGTCTCAGAGGCAGCGCTGCCCTACGTCGTCAAGTTGGATCCCGTCCTGGACGAACCCTGGCGGCCACACGTTGGCCTTGTGCTGACCATCCGCAGCGCAGGGACCCAGCTCCTTACGCGTCGGCTGGAGTGCGCAGCTCGACTTCCGCAAGTCATTCGGCCACTGGTGCGGGCGACTCGGGTCCAAGTCTTCGGCGGCCAGGGCGGCGAGAGATGTGGCATCTGGGATTGCAGCAACCGCCCGCGCTGAACAGTACACTGAGCTGTTCGGTGCCAGACCTAATTCTGGACGCTTCGCGTATCCCCACCAGCATGCTCGTGGAGCTGCAGTGAGTCTGAGTTAGTTGCTCTCGCTCGCGCTCACCCCCTTTTTCCGAGGTCTTGGACGGCCTGGTTCTGTCTGCACACACGTGGGTTCCGCCTGGTCATTGGCCACTCGGACTCGCGTTCCGCCCGCGGCTTTTACAGTGCTTTGCTGTCCGTCTTGGCCTCGCTTCCGATTGCGCTTCGGCTGGAGCTTGGCGCCGCAAGGGCGACTTCTCCCCCCCGTTCCGCTGCCGGTTGCCGCGCCTTTTGCTTCCCCACCAGCCGGGCTGTCTGGGCCGGTCACCAGCAGACGCTGAAATGCGTCTCAATGAGGGGAATTTTGTCCCTGGCATGTGCATGTGCCGCTGCGTGTGTTGTCCGCTGGAGTCTGCGGCAATCTCGCGCCAATTATCTACGCACCGCGCCCCGGACGTTGTGCTCGCTCCATGCCCCTCGCCTTGGAGCCGCGAACCAAAAAAAGTATCCCCTATCAGCTCTGAGGTGCCCACACAGGTCACATCGCGGTGCCCACGCGCCATTTTGGCTGCGCCGCAGCCTCTGCTGCCCAATTCATGCGCAGCCTTTATTTCGTGACGTCTGTCTAGAATTCACATCGCGACTTGCAGACCCTGGCAGCCAGCCGCCCTGGCAGTCCGTACTATGCAGTGTGTTGCTTGTGTGCACCCCTGGCAGTGCAGCCACCCTGGCAGCCACCGCTACCCACGCAAGGACGCTGTGTGGGCGCTCTCGGCTCCTGGCCTCGGCATCCACACTCAGCACAGCTTGCAGCTCACGCGAGGCGCCGCTTAGTCCGCTTAGGCAGTTTAGGTTGTCGGCTCTAGTTCGGTGTTGTCAATTAGTAGGCCCGCGCCCTGGACTTACGACACGCCGTGTGCGCTTTCGCCCGCGGCCGCGACCAACAAAAAAATCCCCACCAGCAATCGCGGTTCCTTCCCCATATCGGGCTGGCGGCCGTCATGGCTTCGCTCTGTCCCGTGCGCTCCCGCCACGTGTGATTGGCTCCCTGGACTCAGGCTTAGGTATTTCCCGTGGTCCCCTCCGTCGTCACTTTGCGTGTCAGCTCCGAGCTCGTGGCCCGGTACCGGGCCC